CTTGCATCTTTCATAACTTAAGTTAGGCAGTAAGGCGGTGAAGGTGCCTGCTGCACACCATACAGAGTTGTGATCGGTGTATATGAGATAAGTACTCGTAGTGACCGCCACGGATGGTGCCGTGCAGAACCTCAGAGATGTGAAGATAGGTCACCAGCACTCTAAAATGCAAAGAAAATATAATTTGTTGCAAATAACGTCACATAGGTCAAAATAGCCAATGTTTTGGGGCCGAGCAGGGTCCCTTCATCAAGGTAACACAGAGATGTTACTGTGTCGACTTGAGGAAGGGACTCTGTGCGGCCCCGAAATGTTGGCTATTTTGTGACGTTATTTGCAATAAACTAGATTTTTTTTGGAGTGCTGGTGACCTATCTTCACATATCTGAGCCAGTAAGAGGTAACACTTAACTAAAAATCCAGAGTATATAGTGTGAAGGCCAAGTTGTTTCATTTTTAAAACACTAGTACCAGTCCCATCTAATGTTTTCACAGCCTATCCTCCAAGCACAGCTATGCAAGGACAATAAGGTAAGGCGAGGTACAGCTTAAAGGACCACTATTGCAAACCTACTGCTTTTTCATACTGAGTTCTTAGAATATTTTAATACACACTAAAGTAGTCTTTTTTTCATCAGGGCTCTGCAGCGTAAGGCCCCATTCACACTGAGCGACATGAAAATCGCGCGACTTTGAGCGATATTGAGTGACGTGTCGCGCGACTTCTTCCTATTGGGCTGTATGCAATCAGGAGCAATATCGCTCAAAATCGCTCGAAAAAAGGGTCATGTAGGAGCGACAAGCTACCAGCGACGAGCTACAAGCGATATTGAGCGATGAGATGTGAACAGCTCCATTGAAATGTATTGGTGAAGCTACATAGAGCGATATCGCACGGAAATATGAGCGATATCGCTGCAAAAATCGCGCGATAAATCGCTCAATGTGAACAGGGCCTAAAAGTGATATCTATGGAGATTGAACTATATATAGGCACATAGGGGAGGACTGGACTGGCCTCTTTTTTTTTTTTTTTTTAAATGCTGGTCTAGAATTTTTAATGATAGGGTTGGTTTCCACAGATTAATCATGGGTACCATGTTTGTTTAGATCCTTCCTTAAATCTTAGCCAGAAAGCATGGCAAAATTGCAGACACCTTTGAGGACAGCCTTGACATGCATGTATAGGAACAGTAGAATCCAGCAGGGGATGCCCTCCATAATGCC